CCAGACAAGGCTTCGGGGTGAGAGGCGCGGAGCAGCTGGCGCGGCTGCCCACAGGGTACCACCTGTGCCCACACGTCCTGCTGGCCTGTGTGGTGTCAGCGGGGCACCTGAACAAGCCCCTGGTCCCCCACCCCACCCCGCTCTTGGATTTTCCAGACCTGGGCGACAGAGAACCAAAGCACCACGTGGCCCCAGGCTCCGGGGAGGACCCTAGTGTGTCCCCTCACCCACTCAGCTGAGTTGAGTTTGCAGAACGCGCTGCTGGCCCCTTCCCAGGGCTCGCTGGACCCACTGCACGCAAAGTGTGGCCCTAAACTCTGGAGGTGACACCAAGATGACATCCCAGCTCAGATCCCAGGGGTACTTACTCTCATCACCTCGGATCTCAAGGGTACCAACTCCACATCTCCTCCGAGCTCAGGAGTACCTGCTCCCCATCACCTCGGAGCTCCGGGATTCTTACTCTTGTCATCTTTAATCTAGGGGTACTGTCATCACCTCTGATTTTGGGGAAATTTGCTCTCATTACTTCAGATCTCAGGGCACCTGCTCCCCATCATCATGACAGCCCCACACCAGTGCACCTCTTGGGGGCTGATCACCTCATGGGGTCAGGGGACTGTCACCCCTGGAGGGCCTGGCCTTGGACCCAGTCTGCCAGGCCCCAAGTGTCCACAGGGCAGCTGCACCTCAGAACCTGCAAGCTGAATGGCCCTGCCCAGCTGCCATCTCCTCACAAATGTGACCACAAAGCAGAGGGAGGGAGTACCCCTCGGGACCCCACCACTCGGCCTGGCCTTCACCCCACCCCGACTCCTCCACAGGACCCCCCATTCTAGGAGCTTCGACTTGGCCCATCTGGCTACAGCTTTTTAATTACAAACGTCTGTCTTCTCAAGAGAGCTACTCGGCATTGCCAGATACAACAGAAAATGTCTGCGAGAAATGACATTTTAGAAGCACCAGACGCCTCACCATGCAGCTGAGGGAGCATGCGGCTATTTTCGCTGGGCGTCGCTGGCTAGTTGAAGCAAAGAAAGTGCCCCCCCCCAACCGAGTCCAGTCCACAGGCTCCCCTCACCCCACCCAGAGCTGGGATGCAAGACCCCCTGCGTCCCTCTTGCTCCCTTCCCACAAACTCGGGTCCAGGAACAGAATCCAGAAGAAAGACGCGTCCACGTAAACGCCTGGAGCTGGGGCCATTCTCAGTCCCCAGGCACGCTCCTGAGGCCCTGACCTGAGGGACGGTGACCTACCTGAAATGGGACCCCAACACTGTTTGGGCACCTGGGACTGCGGGGGGATGGGGAGAGGATGGAAGAAGACAGGGAGAAGAGAGAAGGGAGGGGAGGAAAGGGAAGGAAGAAGAGGGGAGGCTGGAAGAGGGGAGAGGGGAGAGGAAAGCTGTTCTGCCTGCTATGAGCCAGCTGCACAGTTCAGTGGGCATCTCTGACCAGACTAGGGGCCACACCCTAGGGGCAATGGTCCCTTTGCAGGTTTGAGACAGGTCTCAGACTCAGCCCAAGTGTAGGCCCCGAGGGATGGGCACAGGCATCCCCTCACACCCAGGAGCAGGAAGGGAGGCTGGCCCTCCTCTCTCCTCAGCTGCTGCCCCATCAGGGAGGGAAACACGGGAATAGCACGCCCTGAGGTATCCGCTGCACCCCTGCCTCACCCTCCCCACACTCAGGGCTTCCTACGGGTGCGAGTCAGAGCCGCCAGGGCACCGTATGCCCTGCTCATCACAGCCTGCACAAGCACGCTCAAACCACACACCTTACCTCATGCCTCACACCTCACGCGGCACACCGCACACCTCACACCACCTACCTCACACCTCACATCACACACCACATACCTCACACTGCACACCTCACACCACACACTGCACACCTCACACCGCACATCTCACACCACACACCGCATACCTCACACCTCACATCACACACCACGTACCTCACACCACACACTTCACACTGCACACCTTATACCTCACACCACACACCGCACACCTCACACCTCATACCGCACACCGCACACCTCACACTACACACCGCACACCTCACACCGCATACCTCACACCTCACATCACACACCACATACCTCACACCACACACTTCACACTGCACACCTTATACCTCACACCACACACCACACACCACACACCTCACACCTCATACCACACACCGCACACCTCACACTACACACCGCACACCTCACACCGCATACCTCACACCTCACATCACACACCACATACCTCACACCACACACTTCACACTGCACACCTTATACCTGACACCACACACCGCACACCTCATACCGCACACCGCACACCTCACACCACACACCTTACCTCATGCCTCACACCTCACACCACACACCGCACACCTCACACTGCACACCACAGACCTCATACTGCACACTGTACACCTCACGCTGCACACCTCATACCACATACCTCACACCGCACACCACACACCTCACATCACACAATGCACATTTCACACCACATACTTCACACCACACATCTTATATCTCACACCACACACCGTACGCTGCACACCATACACTGCACACCGCATACCGCACACCTCACACCACACACCTTATACCACACACTGCACACCTCACACCACACACCTCACACTGCACACGGCACACTGCACACCTCACACCGCACACCTCACACCACACACCTCACATCACGTATTTCACAGCACAAAACACACACCACATACTTCACACTTCCTACAGCATTCCTCACACACCACACCACATACTGCACACCTCACACCTCAGGGTCCATGCAGCTTCCAGAAGCTTTTCTGTGCTGTGAAGTGGGATCCTTTGCCCATCGGAACGTGAGGTTGCTGAAAGCACCGGAAAAGCAGATGGTGCTGAGGGTGCTTTGGCTGGGCCACACATTCCCACCCATATTCAGCCCAGCTGGGGTCATGTTCAGGACCCCTGCTACCTGGCTGGCAAAAATCGCCCTGCTCACCAACACACCACAGTGCCCCAGCCCTGCAGAGGTGCATAACTGCCTCGCGTGGGGACCGGAGCGACAGCACAGCGGGTAGGGCGTTTGCCTTGCACATGGTCAACCCGGGCTCAATTCCCAGCATCCCGTGTGGTCCCCCGAGCACCGGCGGAAGTAATTCCTGAGTGCAGAGCCAGGAATAACCCCTGAGCATCGTTGGATATGACCCCCCCCCCGAAAAAAAACATAACTGCCCTGCCAACGGTCACCTAGGTCGCCAGCCAGCTGGGGGGTTGGGGGGGGGGGGGCTGCCACAGAAACTTTTTTTTCGACTACCTGACCCCTCTGACCCTGATGATTAATTTCCCTCTAACTGCCTTTGTTAACAGCTGCCTGACAATTTCCAATTATTCAGAACACTCAGACTGAATGTCTCACAATCTTCTATTTAATTAACTATTAAATTTTAAATTCTTCCTCTTGCACGCCGCAGCCTTGGGCTTGAGCCATGCGTGCTCTGTAGTGTCCTGGTGGCCAAGACTTTCAGCCACGGAGATGGTGGCGGGGGGGTGGGCGCTTTGTGTGGGTGCCAGACACCCTCCTTGTGCTTCCTGGGCCTCTAAGGGACGCCCCATACCCCGCCTCCTGGTCTGAGCTTGGGCCCAGTGGTGGGTGCAGCCCCTCCACACCACCTGTCCCAGCCTCCGCCTGCCCAGTTTTGTTCCCTTCCAAGAAGTGCGCTGTTCTGGAGATGCCACGGGCAGTCCCCAGCAGTCACAGAGCCCCCTGGCTGCTGCCCAAGACACACCTCGACAGGCCTGGGAAGAGCCCCGGGGCACAGCAGGAGACTGCTCTATCACAGAGAGAACCTGTCAGAGCCCAAGCAGGAAACTCCAGGCCATCCCGCCTGCTTCCCACAGAGATGCTCCCGGGCATGGACCACCTGGACGCCAGGAGAGACCAAGGGCTACACCCCCCAGTCTTGCAGTAGCCCTGCCCTGGACCCCAGACTCACAGCACCCTGCCCTGGGCCCTTCCCCCGAGCCCTGCCCTGGGCTCCCCCTCCAGCCTCAGCCTCACACAAGCACCAGCCCACAGGTGCACCAGCTTAGGACTGTGTGGAGCGCCTGCCCCAGGGAATATGCTGGAAACACAATACCAGCCTGGCAGCCGAGAAGGCCATGAAATAGAAACAGGGTCTGAGGAAGGTTGTCAACACAGGTGGGGCAGGTACCAAGTCTGGGCACAGCATTTCCCAGAAGGAGGCACATGCAAAGGCCCTGGGGTGAGGAGGAGCTACTAAAAAGAGGCAGGGGCAGTGCAGACAGGCAGAGGTGTGGGAGGAGCTGCAGGTTCTGTCCAGCCAGACCCTGAGGGATGGAGGGGGAGGGTAGTGGGGGTTCTCTGTGGTGTGAGAGACTCTACAGGTGCCCAGGGAGGCAGAAGTCTGACAGCTTGACTTGCCTCACAGGCCAAGCAGCTCCTGGGGAAATGTCAGCCGTGCTGGGGGCAGGGGGCTGAGCTGGGGGCAGGACAAGGACCGTCTAGAGAGCGAGCATCTGAGGCTAGCAGGTGTCTGGCAGGAGGGAAGAGAAAAGTGGGGCCGGGGGGCAGGGGTCCCACTCTGGCAGGAACAGCCACCCAATTCCTTTGCCTCCCAACGCCCCCTAAAGTAAAAATGATTTTCACACCCATTTGATGGCTGGGAAAACCAAGGTCCAGAGGAGGGGAGGGAAGAGGGAAGGGAAGGGAAGGGAGAGGGAAGGGAAGAGAGGACGGAAGGGAGGAGAGACGGGGGGGGGGGGGGGGGAGGGAAGAGGGAGGGCAGAGGGCAGAGGGAGGGAGGGAGGGAAGGAGGGAGGGAGGGAGGCGGAGGCCCGGGACACTCAGACCCAGGAGAAAAGACCAGGCCTGCTTGGCCAGGAACCTGCACCCACAGCCCAAGGGAGACAAGCCTGACCGCCAGAGGGGGTGCCCCTCCCCCCACAGGAGGCCCAGGCCTGGTCCAGCCCCACCCTACCTCTGGCTGACAGCTTCTTCGTGTTGATGATCTTAGCCGCGTACTCATGGCCGGTGCAGAGCTTCACGCAACGGCGCACCACGGAGAATGCGCCCCTGCGGGAGAGACAGCCGTGAGACTCACGCAGCGCCTGCCTTCTCTCCCGCCACCCCTCACCTGTGCCCCCCACCCCCGCCTCTGGGCTCGATCACACCCTGCGGCCCCCGGGGCCCCAGGGCAGGGCAAGCAGCAGCTCCTGGCGGTCAGTGCCGCCCATGCCGGGACTCACGGGAGATGTGCAGTGAGCATTGGAGGGCCAGGACCAGGCTTTGGGCAGAGGCTGGAGCCCACAGCGGGACATCAAGGCCACACACAACGGCGCTGAGCACCCCTGAGGGTACCAAGGGGAACGACAGGGACTGTGGCAGCAGGGACGGGGTAGGCTCTCGGCACTGGCCGGGCCCCAGCACCGGCCCCGCCGATTCTCGACCACAGCCTCAGGCCTCAGGACTAGCCCAGGGGGGTGGGGGGTGAAAGGGAGGGGCAGGAGGAGCACAGAGCATGACTCTGGAGCCCCACAGTGTGGGGTGGCTCCAGCCCTTGCACCCGCCCCCGAGAGCGTGCTCTGCCCGAAGGAGCAGACCTCCAGGGGAAGCCCTTTCCTCCTTTCCTCATTTTCCAGCCACACCCGGCAGTGCTCAGCGCTGACTCCCGGCTCTGCACCCAGGCCACTCCTTGGCGAGCCTGGGGGACCCTGAGAGGCGCTGAGGTTCACACCAGGACAGACGCACGCATGCAAGTTTCCTCCCTGCTGTACTATTGCTCCAGTCCCAGCGAGCACTGTTTTTTGTTTTTTGTTTTTTTTTTTTTTTTTTTTGCTCAAATCTTCCCAGATAGAGCTTCAGGGAAAAAATGTTCCTGTTGGCTGCATAGGAGAAAATCAACGTCACACCAAATGCAGCGGCACCCTTCCTCAGCTTGGTGGCGAGTGCTGCCGACTGGACTTAGAACACCGCCTGAGCGCTCACCAGCTTTATTCTGTGCAGGAAGCAGGAGCCTCTGGCCCAGGCAGCTGCCCCTGAGCAAGAGGGACGCAGAGACAGAGGAGGGCTGTGCGGCCATCACAGCGGGCTCCTCTCCCCCACAGCACCTCACCCCAGTGCACCCTGGACAGGGCCACGCAGTGTCCCAGCTGCTGCCCGGTGGCCCCAGGGCCCTCCCGTGGCCGGCAGGGTGAAGTCAGGAGAGTGGCCCTCAGAGCCTGGCCCTGGCTCGCGGCCCTCCCAGGCTTGTCCACATGCAGGTGGAGGGGCGCCCATGCCACGAGTGTGCCAGGGTTCACAGGCCCAACCTGGGGGCCTGGAGAAAGCACCTCAGAGACCCCTCCCTAAGGAACCTTCTAGAAATAGCTGCCCCAGATGTCCTCCCCCCAACACCCATCAGGGGTCAGTGAAGGAGCTGCCGCCTCAGGTCAGCTAGGAAGGACAGGACAGCAGGAGGGAGGATGGAAGGGAGGACAGCAGGGAGGGAGGATGGCAGGAGGGAGGGAAGATAGGAGGAGGGAGGACAGCAGAGGGAGGACAGCAGAGGGAGGGCGGCAGGAGGGATGACAGGAGAAGGAAGGGAGGACAGGAGGAGGGAGGATGGCAGGAAGGAGGACAGCAGGAGGGAGGACGGCAGGGAGGGAGGACAGAAAGGAAGACGGCAGGGAGGGAGGATGGCAGGAGGGAGGACGGCAGGAGGGAGGACGGCAGGAAGGAGGACGGCAGAAGGGAGGACGACAGGAGGGAGAACAACAGGGAGGAGGGAGGGGAAAGGGGATCAGGAGTGGGAGGACAGTGAGGGAGGGGAGGGACCAGAGCAGGGTGGGAGGAGCAGCTTCCTAGTTCCCAAGCCTAACCATAGAGCGGGCGGCCAGTCGGGGCCCCTGTAGCTAGACACCACTGACAGGCCCCTCAGGTCTCCCTGTCACTGTCCCGTCTACGCCCCCTGCCGCCCGCTTCCCTGGAAGTCCCCCTTCCCTCTCCCTGCCTGCCTACCTCAACCCTGTGGGGTGGGGCCAGCAGCCTCAGCAGTGGACACTGGCGATGGAGGGGCTGGTGCGGGAACCCACGTGCTAAAACTCCGTCCTGGTAGGGACCCGCCTCCGCATCCCCTAGGCCCTGCCCATGAGCATCAGTGCCTATGGGCCAGGGGCTGGGGCCCCCCAATATCGCAGACACAGGGCAGCAAGCACCCCAGTACTCACAACACCCACCCTCCAGAAAAGTTCAGTGTCTGAGAGCACTGGGCTAGGAGCACCTCTGAGGCCTGGTGCTATGGCCACGCAGCCCGGAGACAATTGCTATCAATGGGCGTGAATCACCAGCGGCATATGCAGAGTGTGATGAAAAATCGTTCTGATTTCGCTGTCCACCTCCTCTCCAGGACAGCCAGGCCACTGGTGTCCAGCCCAGCTTCGTGGGAGCCAGGCCTGAGAGGCCCAGGGCTGGCCAGTTGTGACCACCTTGTGGTCCCAGCATCTGCCTGGAGCTGCTCAGAGCAGGAGGGCCGCGAAGAGGCTGGGCTTGGCACTGCAGCCTCTCAGGTGTGGGGGCAGGAAACGGGCCGCGAGGTCGGGCTGCGGGTAGAGACAGCGGCGGGAAGGCTGGGCCCAGACACCCGGACTGTGGCAGCCATCAGGAGGGCAGGAAGGCCTGGCTGGGGAGAAGCAGGGACGAGGGTACTGAGGAGAGTGGCTGCATGGGAATCCAAGGCCGACCCCCATTTCCAGTGCTCCCAACTCCGGTTCCAACCTGAAGCCTTGCCCCAGGCCACTTGGGCCAGAGAGACAGCAAGAAGGGAGCTCACGTGCCTTGCACACAGCCCCACCCAGACTCTATCCCCAGCGCCACACATGGTCCCTAGACACCGCCAGCAGTGCGTCCTCAGCACGGACTCAGGAGGAAGTCCTGAGCACAGCCAGGATGACCACACACACACACACACACACACACACACACACACACACCCCGCCCCCCCAAAACCAAAATCAAATCAAGTGACGCTAAACAAACACGGAGACTTCTCTGGGTGCCCTGAACTCTCTGGCTGGCGGGGGGAGGGGGGGGTGGCGAGAGGGGGGGCGCGAGCCACCAGGTCCCCACCACTCATGCTGCTCTGGGCCCCGGCCAGCAGGGTCCAGCCGTGTACGGGCGCTGACACGTGGCCTCAGCAAATCCCTCACACTCCGCCCAGCAGACGGGGGATGCGGTGCAAAGGTGCCTTGGGCTGAGATCTCGGGCTCCCAGTGGCCCTGGGCCTGACTCACCTGTGGCAGGGCTGGGCAGGTACAGGTCTCACATGAGCCCCACGCCGCAGCCAGGCCTTCCCAGCTTCCCTGTCTGCCCTCTGTGGGCTCCTAGGGGCTCGGGGGCAGGAGGCGAGGAGCCTGTCCACCCGCCTGGAACTCCTGGTCTTCCGGGTGACAGCCCCCTGACAGCTGGCACAGGGTGTGGCCAGCCCAAAGGGGCCCCAGCCACAACACCAGTCGCATGGTGGCCACACCCTGAGCCTTCACGCAACCCCATCAGGCCCAGGACAGCCCTCCCGCGTCCCTGAGGCGCCACCCACCGCTACCCCGGAGAGCAGGAGGGCACACGGAGCTCCCACTGTGACCACCCAGCTGGCAGCCCACAAGGCTGAGCCCCGCAGGCCTGTGTCCAGCAATCCCGCTCACACGTCACACTCTTCGCATCTCTGCCCACCCCCTTCCACCTGGACAAGGCTGTCCCAGCACCCTATGGAACCTGACTCTGCACATGCTCAAGGGCTGAGGTGTCTGGGCTCAACTTCCACGCGGGAATTTGGAGGAGATTCAATTCAGCCCATAAAGGTTGAACTGAGAGCCAGGTTCTGTCTTACGGATTCTGCTACCGTGTATTCTCAAAGAACACTTTCCAAATTAAGTCCCTCACAACTGGGGCTGGAGCAATAGCACAGCAAGTAGGGCATTTGCCTTGCATGCAGTCAACCTAGGTTCGATTCGCAGCATCCCATATGGTCCCCTGAGCACTGCCAGGTGTAACTTCTGAGTGCAGAGCCAGGAGTAACCCCTGTGAATCGCTGGGTGTGACCCAAAAAGGAAAAAAAATTCCCTCACTACTGGGGAGAGAGCACAGCAGGGAAGGCCTTGGCCTTCAACTCAGCTGACCCAGATTTAATCCCCGACACCCCAGATGGCCCCCTGAGCACTTCCAGGAGTGATTCCTGGGAGCAGAGCCAGGAGTCAGCCCTGAGCACCACCAGGTGTGGCCCCAAACAGCTACTAGCTTCACTGGATGTTAATAATATTAAGTGCCAAGGGGATCCTTTGGATAAATAAGTGAGTTTGGGGGTTTCCTCCCACCCTTCTTCTTCCCTCAATGAGTTCATGGCAAGATCTGTCAGCCTTTCACCTGGCTGACAAAGAAAGGAATGCAGGAACTGGAGACTTTGCACAGCGGGGAGGGTGCTTGCCTTACACTCAGTCAACCCGGGTTCGATCCCAGCACCCTATATGGTCCCCTGAACACCACCAGGAGCAATCCCTGAGCAGAGTTAGGAGTCATCCCTGAGCACTGCCAGGTGTGGCCCAAAAACAAAGCAGGGCAGCTGTGGTGACTGCACAGAGATTGGCCACACAAAGACCAGACAGGGCAGCCCGGAGTGGGGAGGCTGGACCCTGCTTCTGAAACTGGCTGTGATCCCCCAGAAGCAGGGAGAACCTGAGGAAACAGACCTGTCCACAGAGAGCAAAGAAGGAGAGGGAGGTGTGCGTGCACCGAGCAGGCACCCATGGTCTGCACCCCTTGGAAGTGTATGCACTCATGTGAATACGCACTGCATGCATGCACATGTATGAGCACACATGTGGATCCACACTGCCTGCATGCACACACTTGCGGGCACACAAGTGGGTACACATGTGCGTGCATGCACACAGGGACACACACACACGTGTGGCCCTGCAGCTGGTTATGCCGCACAGATGGGCATAGGCACACATAGTGGCAGGAGCAGACATATGTAGGCCCACATGTACAGACACACACGCAAACACATGTGCATGGAGTCAGCACACACGCAGGTGCACACA